GGAAAATGGGAGGCTGGGAGGAGGCGGAAACTTTTTTTTTCCTATTCTCAATAAAAAAAAATAACAAAAAAAATCTCAGAATCTTGTTATACATGTTTTTGAACTTTACTTAAGAATGTACTAGCATGACCTGGATGGAGGTGGGGGGTCCTGATCGCTCTTTGGTCTGAGGAGGGTGGGGGACTCGATTGGCGGAGGGGGAGGGAGATGAGAGGCAGTGGCAGGGAAAGAGATAGAAATCTTTAATAAATAAATAAATTTTTAAAAAAGAATGTACTAGCACTGCAAAAACTGGCTATATTTAGACTTACCAAATTTGAGAGTCTGGTTTGATTGGGATAAACAGTTGTTACCTTTAATATGAAAATGGTAGTTTCAGCACTGGAACCTAGCAGATACAATGAACATCTCAATTCACATCTAGATATCAGTAGAAATTTATAAGTGTACACAATAAAAACTTGCTCAGTGTACATAAGAATTTTTCTGCAATAAGCATTGGATTATTAGAATTATTATGCCTGTCCTGGTAATTTCTGACTGGGGATTAATGATCTACTCTTATTTAATCATAGAGAAAAAAAATATTGTGTGAATAGAGTACTTTGCCTTTTCCAAAACACCAAGTTACATTTGATTCTCCGTGGCATTAGAATTGTAGATTTAGACAGTTAATTACTCCTTGTTGTAGTGATTTTCTGTTTGCACAACTATAGCACCACTATCAGCATTGCAGGGAGTGACAACCCATCCACCACTCCTGCTCTCAGGTTCTCAATCTGCACCTGGTTGTAAATGGGGAAATCTGACATCAGCAAAAACTCAATAATGCAAATGCCAAAGAATCAGAAATGGTGCGTGTGTGTGTGTGTGTGTGTGTGTGTTTCTTTGGTTCTGCCTCTCCGTGTCACAATCACTTAACACATGAACATACCAAACAGATATGATCAGTAATCTAGGACACAGACTGAAAAAAAAACCCTTCTCTATTCATACCCATTATGTGTACTCAATACTTCTCCCTAGGTTTTAAAAAAAGTGAGTCTGGATTCTTTATTCATCAGTGGACAAAGGGAAATATAAAATATAAATTTTGAATTTCAGGATTCAGTAATCCTTAGAAAGATTGTCATTGATGAGTTATTATTTCAGAATTAAATTTATTTTTAAAAATCACTTTTTCTTTGTACTATTAGAACATGTTCTTAAAACCTACATTTTAACTTATAAATTGAATTTATTCTTTACTGAGGTCCTTAGAGGCTTCAGAGGAAAATATATGAAAGATAACACATGGCATCATAATTTTCATTTTGTGTTCCCTAAATTGACTGTGTTTCAGGTAGTTGCAGAGCTCTGCTGAAAGCAACTTAACATAACTTAAGAAATTTGATCTAAGAACTCATAAGTCACAGTTGATTTATTTTACATTTGTCTAACTTGCTTTTCCCACTTGATGGCTGATGAAACAATGTAAATAGATAAAAAAAATAGTATACAGCTATGCGCCTTTGATAGTCTGTTGTTATTGCTGAAATTTTAGGAACAATACACTTTGAAAGAATTTCACCTCAAGAGAGGAAGTGCATGTGCTTTTGTGGAAACTAAAGCCACAGACACATGCAAGCATCTCCTTGGAACCAAAATGCCCCAACAATTTCTGCAAACTATGATTTCAGCAGAGTGTTTTGGTGAATGGTTACTGAGATGAATATTAAGACATACTTTTTTTGTATTTTGTTTTCTAAGATTGGGTTTCTCTGTGTAACAACATTGGCTGTCCTGGAACTTGTTCTTGTAGCCCAGGCTAATCTCAAACTCACAGATATCTGTCTGTCTCTTTCTCCCAAGTACTGGGATTAAAGGTATGTGCCAACCACCTGGCCAAGTCATATCTATATAGAATTTTTAAATCAAACACATATGTCAAGTCTTTGTCACTTTAGCCCTAAAAGTTGTATGCCTTCAAAGACAAAGATTAAATACTTGAAAACACTTGCCTTTACAATGAGAAAGAGGTGTATGAATTTAGTCATTTTATTGACTTTCACCAGCTTTCCACTTGAATTTTGGATTTGGTTATAGCATCTGATTTTGGAATTATCTGAAATTCTGTCCCTTGTTGGGTATTATTAAATTTTTAAGCAATCGTTTTTCACTGTATATGCCTATTCCAGTTCCCTTCACTCAGCCACCTTCTCCACATTCCAGTACAACACCCCCTCACTATTCTTTTCTAAGTGGCTTTTGTTGTTTATGAATTTAAAGAATGTTTAAAAACAGACAGAAAGAAAGAAGGGAAAGTTGAAATTTATTTGGAAGCTGTGAAAGATTAGTAGACTTACCAAGGAAAGCACTGAAGAAGATTGCACCAAGGACAGTCTGGAAAGAAATATATATATA